AAAAAAAAGTAACTTGCGTTACTTATTTGAAAAAGTAACTCAGATATTCTCTTGTAAATTAAAAAGTAATGCGATACTTTACTAGTTACTTACAAAAAAGTAATCTGATTACGTAACTCGCGTTACTTGTAATGTGTTACCCCCAACACTGTATATATCTATATCTATCTATCTATATATATATATATAATAAAGACCAGAAAACTAGGAGCTTTCTATTAACATTACTTGCAAAACATTTATTCAGAATTTTGGGAGAACCTTGCCAGAAAGTTAACTTAATGTTATTAATACGTATTATTACCATGTCAATAATGCTTTGTGTGACCAAAACAAAAAGTTACAAACGAAATAAAATGTAGCTGATTGACTGTGAGTTCAACTAAATACTGTATGTGACTGAATCAATAAAGATATACTTATGTAGGCTATAGGCTGGCAGTCACATTTTTCCCCAGGGAATGTTTATCAATATAGATTTATTGAGTCATGTAGACACAAACCTTAAAGCCTTGGGATGCTGCTGATTATGTCCATACAGTGTCTTTATAGTGTCTTTATAGTGGGGGTCACAATGAAAACCAGCCATTATAAATCTTATTCAATGCTTTTTATAGATATTTCTGAATGTATTAAGGAAAACAATTATGAAGCGCAACACAGTAGATGAAATAGCAATCATGTAGGCTAAAAAGCAACATGAAGTTATCCAATTATTATTGTGGCCAACATATATTTTAATTGATCATTTGTCTAAATTTCAACATTCCTTTAAGGCACCAAAAATATAAAGAACTATAGAACTTAAAAGTTCTCATTTTAAACGAATCAAGTTGTAAAAACCATTTGGGGAAGGTTTTTTTTTTTTTCATACACCCAAGTTTGGTTTGGCTGCTTTGCAAATATTCTTATCTTCATATCTATCTGTAAAGTTTCATTAATTCCTTCTAAGATTATGTACTTGATGCTTATTTGATGCTTCTGTTTGGCACCAAATAAAGTCAAAGGGCTTATGCCGATCTGTTTTTCTGAGTAATTCATTGGAAACTGATGAGGAAGAACAGAAGAGGAAGCGATGAGGGAAAGTTGAGGCCGGTGATTCACACGTCTGCTGTCAGTATATGAGGATCTGCTGAGGGAAAGTGGAAAGTGAAGGAGTCTGTTTATATCTTCAGCATTACTGATGATGAGGATGATAACAGTGAATGTAAAAGAAATGAGAACATGTGACTGATCACTTTTATAAACATGTCTGTTGTTGTTGTTGCATAAGGGAAAGATTATTTGCTTATATTATTAAGAAAAAATGTGTGTGTTTGTTTGTTTAGGTGTGGAGTTCTGAATGCAGTTCATCTACTGAACTATAAGAGTTACAGAACACAACACACTCTGTTTTTGTGTTTGTGTTTTTATGCTTTTGTGTTTGTGTTTTCCAGTTGTCTTTACAATTATGAAATGTATTTCTTGTCAAGTTCTTCACTGTGCTCTAACTGTCATGTGACAACAGCAAATCTGGAAAAAAGAGAAGAATCTTTCATATTTATTTAAATATACAGTCAATATGGCTTGTATATTATCTCAATTATGGAAAAAACATAAGCTGTTCGTACAATAACATATAATAATGTAATAAAATAACAATATAATACAATATACAAAATACAATGTAATAACATAATTACGTATTTATTTAAATAAATAAATAAAAATATATATATATATATATATATATATAATTATTTTATTTTATTTTATTTTTTTAAATACTGTAAAAAAAAAATTGTGCATCCTAAAAAGCTTACACTGTAAAAGAAAAAAAAAAGAAAAAACACAAAATAAAATGTGGCTCACTGACAATGACTTCAACTGAATATGTGACTGAATCAATATATAAAGATGTGCTTAAGTAGGCAGCTAGTTAACTATTTACTCCATGCAATATTTATCAGTATAGTTGGTAATTATCAATAAGTATTTCTTTTTTAAAAATCTATATATTTTAAATCATTTAAAAAGTTCTTTATGCAACATAAAAGCTTACACTGTAAAAAACAACAACAACAACAACAACAACAACAAAAAAAGAAAATGTACTGTACAGTATATTATATAGTGATTTTATAGGAATTTCTGTTAACCCTAAAACACAATGCAATGCAGTGTAAAATTCAAAATACAGGTAAAACACCTGTAAAATTCCCTTATATTAATACAGTACATTGTGCCCTATTTTTTACTGATTTAGAGATGTTATTTAGATCTGTTTTTCCATTTTTCAAACGTGAAAGTGCACTATCCAAACTTCAATTGTTATAATTCATGAACGAAAACATTTTGTAAAATGATTTTGATGTATCATTTTCATGGTAATGCAATGTCCAATTTTAAAATGGTTTTCACAGGATGAATTTTGAGAGTTTAAGCTTTTGATTGATACATAATTTATGATGATTTCTAAAGCGTGATAGGGAAAAAGGTCTTTGTCTGACCTTTGTGACAAAGGTCAGAACTCCTGTTATGATGTAGATTTTTGAGGTGCACTCTTGTCATAAATTAATCTATTACTTTTCCTACATAATTTGTAACAAAACAAAACAAAAACGGTGGTAAAATATCTATAGGAGTCTTAGACCGTTCCAGCGATATATAGTTTGTCATGATTAGATTAGGATTTATTTGTGATGTAGTGAAGTAAAGGTTTGTAGGATTTTATAGTAAATGCCATTTTTTTGTAAACACTAACTGGCTTCAATATCATTTCTGATAAATACGTCAGAGATTTAGTTTCCGAAAAGCAAGCCATAAATCAGAGATCATGTAGCTTATGATTTCACTTCACGTTTGACATTTGGAAAGGATGGCGTATCACAGTGAGTTCTGGGGATTTCATTTCTTCTTTGCGGATTCTTCGTTTCTCAGTTCTGCCTTTCAGGAAAACCCGAAACTTTGCTTTAAAGGAAGACTGAAAGTCAACTGCTTTGTTCTCCAATCAGAGAAACTGGATGCATGAATCAGTTGTATCTTGGCAGAGCTTGCACTAATTCCCTCACATTCCAACATCTTTATGTTTGTATTTCAAAATAACGCCACTTTAGAACGTTACAGCAGCGTAAAGACTGTTGGATAAAACTTTATTATAAGTTTGAGTGCTAAAACTTCACTCATAAAACTCTTTTAAGTACTTATCATTAACGTGCATTTAAACAGGCTTCAGAAATGCAAGATATCGATATTGATTCATATATTTTACAAATATATGTATATGATTTATATGATAAATTCCATTATCTGTCAAATTATTGAATAAGTGATTGAAACTGTTGTGTGGGTGAGGGTAATGTGATGGGTAACGTAATGCTGGTGTATTATTAGGATTGTGTAGGAATTATATATGTTTTGGAATGGTGTCATTTTTTATTTTTTATTATTTTGTTTTTTCTGTGTGTTTGATCTGCTCCTCCGGTTGCCTAAGACAAATTTCTCCTAAGGGAGGCAATAAAAGAGAAACTTAAAAACTTAAAATATGAATGCATATTTTCTAAACATCCCTCTGTAATGATTTCATTGAGTATTAATGAGAGTTATTAGAAAGAATAACCTTATATGGGTGTCAAATCCGTCTCTGAAACACGGATTTATTCTGTATTTGATCGTTGAAAGAGGAATGGGGATGTTTGTTTTCACTGTTTGTTTCTCATATTTACATACAGGTTGAAGTATTCTTCTCTCCATCAACTAATGACGC